ACACCGAGAAGGCCTGTGACAACCCCGAGCCGCAGGGGCAGGTACTCTAGGGAGCGCTCCAGCTCCATGTGCAGGAGGACGACTTGGCCTCTGGTGGCACTCCACTCCCCGGAGTTGTCCAAAACATGGCGGGCCATGTGGACCTTGTCCTCCAGAGGCAGCTGGGCCGAGATGCTGGCCTCGGCGTCCTCACGGGTCAGACTGTTCCGCTTCATGAGTCGCTTCAGCTGTGTGTCTTGGTCACAGTACACCACCACTGTGTGCTTCATGTACTTGAGCAGATTCTTGGTCTCAAAGAGCAGGGGCACATCCAGAATCACATAGCGGTTCCCCTGGAGGAAGTACCTGAAGGTCTCCTTCATCATCTCCTTGCGAATCTCGGGGTGGGTGATGGTGTTGAGCAGCCGCCGTAGATCAGCCTGCTTAAAGATCAGGTCTCCCAGAACCTTGCGGTTGATTTCACCATTCTCCAGCAACACTCCTGGACCGAAGGCCTCCACGATGCGCTGGTGGGCGGGGTATCCTGGCTGGACCACATACCGGGCACTCTTGTCCATGTCAATCACTGCACAGCCCAGCTGCTGGAACACCTGGGCCACAGAGCTCTTGCCCGAGGCAATGCCCCCTGTCAGACCCACCAGGAACATCTTGGCCAGGAAAGAGGGAGGTCAGAACACAGGGTACCAGGAGCCCGGGAGTCACGGGAGAAGAAGGCTAGAAGGACCAGTGCCCTCTGACCAGGCCCGGGACGCCGGCGCTCGCTCAATCTCGGTAGCACTTACTGGATGACTCTGGACAGGAGAGGCAAGGCCTCCTGTCCTGTTCATTTTTACACTACAGGAGTTGAGTGCATTAACTTCAGCTTTACCAGGAATCTGGAAAGTACCAGAAAGTTTCATTGCCAGTAGGACTCTGAGCTTTTCAGGATGAAGAGGGACTTAAAAAAGGGGAAAAAAGATGAATGGATGAGGCAGTTTGCAGCAAAGGTTGAAGAGTTCTCAAAAACACTGGGCAAACAACTCAGATTTTCCTATCTGTTCTTCAGCATATCGTCAGATCTGTTTAACTATATTAGATAAAGAGACTTCTAGCAACCAACCCAGATGCTGCTTTGGGACCTTACTATCAGAAACCAGCCCCAGGCAAAAGCTACCCTGGATTCTGTGATGAATATTTTTGGATGTGTGAAATTAAGTATATTTGTTCCCCTGTCTCTGTGTTGCCAGTAAGCTTTGTTGAATGATGGAAATGTGGGATGGATGAAAAGAAACGTAAGTGATAAAGAAAGGCCACAGGGCAGCATTCTCAGCACTTGGGTAAGGCCCAGTATAAAACTCCAGAATGAGCTTCTAAACGAGTGAGTCCCAGAGTAATTAAATTAAACAGTTACCCAAACTGGATTATGGATAACTGTTGAGAAGATTACGTTGAGAATAACTCGAATAACTCTTTGTTTCTGCTCCTGTAGTACCAAGTGGGGCAGCTATATTCTGTGGCTGAGGCCAGTAAGAATGAAACAGGTGGTGGCGAAGGTGTGGAAGTTCTGGTGAATGAGCCCTATGAGAAGGATGGCGAGAAAGGCCAGTACACACACAAGATCTACCACTTACAGAGGTATGTCACTCTGGCAGCAGCGCTCAAAGGTGGCCTGGTTTGAAGTGGAGATAGCGGATAATTAGGGCTACTTCCAGGTTATTATCTGGTTGCTCAAGTTATTTTACCTGTGAGAGTGGGTGTAGGTAGTAGTACTATGTTAGTTTTGTTTTATTATTTTAAATTATAAAAGTAATACATGCCCCACCAGGCTGCCAGTACTCAAAGGTCATGGGGATTGGGTGTTTTTTTTTTTTAATTTTTATTGTATTATTTTTATGTGTACTGTCAAATCAGATCTTACTGGTACAGGAGGAAATTGCTCCCTCCTTCTCCAGCAGAGCATCTGGTGGATTTGAACCGCATACCTCTGGGTTGCAGTGCTGCGTCTTGCCACTAGGCCACCAGAGCTCCCGGGGATTGGTATTTTATGGATCTTTCCATTGCCTGTGCATACACATATACACACATAAATAAATGTGTATATCAGTACATGTCAATTTCCTTTATTAAAATTTTTCATAGATGGAATCATACTATTCTTTTACTTGCTATTTTGTTCCTTTTCATATTAATAGTTTTTAACTATCAATATATCTCCCTCCTCATACACATAGTATTTTAATATTCCTTTTCAGATGTTTACAAATTGTACTGGAGTAAAAATCCTTTTGCATAAATCTTGATAAATTTGTGTCAATCTGTAGTAAGTGTATCTTTTTAAAATTCTGGTAGATACAATGAATCAGCTATAAGAGAGAGATTAGTAATTTTCTTTGGTTCAAATGCCTAAGTAATTCAGACAAAGCTTGAACTGATTTGTATACCAAAATCTGTAGCAAACCACACAAACTTACTGAATCTAACCAAAATAGTAGTATCTCAGTCAGTTAGGAATTGACTCCTACGGATTTTGAAAGCAGCAAAACCAAGCTAGTTTAAAAATTATCCAGACCTGAACAGCATAAACTTGACTCTTAATTACTGGTCACTAAATTGAACTAAAAAATAGAGAGCTCTGGTGGTCTAGTGGTAAGAAGCTACACTTCAATCCCCAAAGCGCATGGTTTGAATCCACCAACTGCTTTGCTAGAGAAGGATGGGTAATCTCCTCCCATGGCAGTTTACTACCTCTGTAAATCAGCTGGAGGGTCAGCTCTGAGTCGATTCCGACTTGGTGGCACACAACAACAACAACAAATTGAACTAAAACCACTTTTATTCTCATGTGGTGAAATTCCTGATGTAATGCAGTTTGCTGCTCTGGTGATGTAAAATGTTAACCCAGAGGTGTCCAGCTTTTGTGACTGCAGGAGTCAGGGGAAAGCAGCACTCTGTGGTGGAGGAAGCAGCACTGTGTGTGGAGGAGGAATCTCTTCCTTGTCAGTGCACTCTTTCTCTATTCTTCCCCCTCCATCCCACCTCTGAGTTGACTGACAGTCCTGACTGAGGAATTAATAGTTGATTAAGATTAACATGCCATTCACAATATGCCTTCCCCACAGTGTATTTGTATGTTAGAAAGAGATAATTTCTCAAGAGTCAGTTATCCAGTCAAAGTGGCAAAGAATGTGCTTTGTGGCCTATCTTTGTACTCTATCTTTCTTAGAAGAGAGGGTGTGAACTTTGAACAGATTCCCCAACTCCAACTCTTTCTTAAACACCAAAAACCCTAACTGTAAGAGGAGAAAAGCCTGCAGTGCTGTGACTGTCACAGCCACCTCTTTGTAAGGACAAAGATTTAATGTGGTTGTCATCGTGCTGCCCAAATCAAAAACAGGGCACCTCACCACTTTGTTTTTCCTCAGGTAAAGTCAAATGATAGTGATTCCATCTCCCTGCTATTTCTGATATTCCCATTTCTCTCCATCAGTTCTTGCATAGATTACTGCTGTTAGGCGCCATCAAGTCAGCTATGACTCAGAGTGACCCTATGAACAACAAATCTGAACTTTGGCGCTTTCCTGTGCCATCATCACAATCTCCTTCATGCCCAAGCCCATTATTGTAGTCATTTTCTGTCCATCTCATTGAGGGTCTTCCTCTTTTGCTCTTTACTTTTCACAGCTTTATGCATTCTATTTCATTTTTTACAACTTCTAGTTTTCTTACATTCATACTTTATATGTCCCGTGTTCCAGTTACTAATGGATATTTGCAGCTGTTTTATCTTGAGTTTTAACATTTCAGCAAATGAAGGTCTGAAAGCTTTTCTCCATTCATGTCATTGCAATAGACTTGACTTTGAGGAGGCAGCTTTTCCTCAGTAGTATTTTGAGTGCCTTTCAACCTGAGAGGCCCATCTGCCAGTATCAGTGTTCTTCCATTAACCATAGGTTTTTCCATGGTCTGCTATTTCAGAAGGAAAGGGCCAGTCTTGCTTCCTAATCTGGAAGCACTGTTGAAACCTGTCCACCATGGGTGACCCTGTTGATATTTGAAATACCAGTGACATGGCATACAGCATCACAGCAACACAAAAGCCACCAGAGTATGGCAAAGTGATAGACAAATGGTGGATCACTGTAGCAGCTCTTAATCGGTCTCCCTTCCACTCAGCTTCACAGGCTCTGGCTAGAAGACAGAGATATCATTCCCCAGCACAAGAGCCATAGATGGCTTTCCTTGGCCCTCATGTTACAGTACATACTCTGTCATTACATACCAGATCATCTTTGACTTCCTCTCTCTTGGTGTGTGCTCTTGCCATTCTCTGTCTCCCACCCGACCCTGAACTGAACTTCTCCGATCCTTTGTCTTATTTATTCTACACTTATTTCCTGAGGAGCTTCCACAGTCTGCCACACTTCCCCCCATGCTCTCAAGATGTACTGTTCACCTCTCCTGGCACACACTTACAGCATGTGCCTGGTTAGTTGTACTCTCACTAGACTGTAAAGTCCTTGAGGGCAATGCCATATATGTTCGTTTTCTGTATGTATCCTGGTATCCCGAATGTATAGACATACCCACTTGAATGAATGTTGAGTGACTGAACATTGAATGACTAAATCGCTGAGGAGATGCTCTGAATGGGCTCTTATTGGGGTTATACTCTCTTCTTTGGCTTGATGAGACAGCTGATGAGACAGATGGTTAGAATCTGCTAAAGCCTATATAAGTTGCCATTTAAAAATCAAGTGTGCGGAATATATGTTCTTTCATTACACCTCTTAATGTACATTTAGTTTTGTAACCTGAGGTATGAAGAGTAGAAAATATTTTTTCCTAGAAGGCATCTGGCTCTCATGTCCCCTGATTTCACCAAACATATGAAAGCAGATCAGATCATCTTGTGTCCCACTTAGCCAGTCACGCCAGTCTGTAAACCTATATTGGTATTTTTCTTGGAGATATCTTTTTTATTTATCCTTCTGTGGGAGCCAGAGCAGGTAGCCTGGAGGTCTTGGTTCTTAGAAGCTGGTAGGATGTGTGGGTGGATGTTACTAAACTACTGAGCTAGGATGTGAGGCTCTGACTAGTGAGCCTTTACATCCCAGACTAACCTGCCTAAATTATGCTGAGTGACAGAAATTTGTCACAGAAGGAAAGTTATGGTATAAGAGCACTATTATTATAATAAAAGACTGAGGGCATGTGAACACACACATAGAATGGACAAAGAGGGGAGTAAGGATAGAGAAGCTGAGTGAAGGGAAAGACAATATATAATGAAGGATTAATTATACATTATACTTAATTAGTTCCATTTATCAGTTGTAATTAGTGTTATAAAACAAAATGTGTATGAATGAATGATTGATTGAAAAATTAATAGGATTTTTAAACCTTCACACAGTAAAAATTTTTTAATGAAAAGTACATATAAAGAAGAAAAAGAGTAACCTGCTTATATCGTGGAAGCTTGCTAACGCTTCATGGAAGAAGTTAGAATTATGGCCTAAAGAGTGTGATAGAAAAAAGCCTATTGTTATCTTCTGCTCTTCTCCATTTCTCTTTATAACTCCTTTTTCTCACTATAGCAAGGTGCCGACGTTTGTTCGAATGCTGGCCCCAGAGGGAGCCCTGAATATACATGAAAAAGCATGGAATGCTTATCCCTACTGCAGAACTGGTGAGTGCAGACCTGAGTAGAAGCTAGAGATTGGGACTCCACATGAACCAGAAGTGTAGTTAAGAATGTCGGGGGCTGGGTGATTCAGGACTTTGGGTTCCATATTCTTTCTAGAGTAAGTCTAGGGAGCTCTGGTGGCCTTAGTGCTCTCCCATCAGGCCAGTTGTGTTACTGTCCACAGCAGAGCTGGCAGCCACCTGAATGGGCACTATCATGTTGTCATGGCCTAAGGTAGCCTAGAACCCCTCTTATTTGGGAATAGTGTGATCATTTGAAGTGTGTTTGCTGATTGCAAAAGTAATGTTCTCTGCTTGCAATTTACAAATATATAAAAATAGAAAAGAATAATCAGAAATTCTTCCACTAAGATTTATTGCATTTTTATGTAGTCTTTTTCTGTATGTGTGCATATATATAGTTATATACATTTTTAAGACAAAATTGAAATCATACTAAATTACTCATTTTTATTCAGGAGAGAACATTTTCTATGTCACTAGGTAGGTTTGGTTGTTTTGGTGTGTTTTTTTTAATTAATAGCTACATATATCCATTGTTAATTTGTTGTGGTCTTTTTAAAACAGTTCCCCCAGTAGATAGGAATATTTCTGTGTTAGTATGTTCTGTTCGTGTTTGGGTTGAAGAGCAGTGCTGAGATCCAGGGACTCTTGAGAGGCAGCCATAAGAAAAGCCTGTGGGGTGACCTTCTGGCCTGGAAAAGGCCAGACCTTCTGGCCTGGAAAAGGCTAGACCTGAACAAGAGAAAGCAGCTGTTGTTGAGGAAAGTTGAAATATGACAATTTTTAAGACAAAGGATCATAGTTATTCCCAAATATATCACGTGTGTGCGCTTGCGCAAAATATTGAGCATGGCATGTTCTTAAGGAGTAAAGCCCGTAGGACTCCTGAGAGCTCTGAGCCCAGGCTTACACTGAACGGGCATTGTTCAAGAGTTGTAGGGTGTGGAGGGTAGAATTAATTTCTTAATCCTGGCCAATTTTTTACATTGATTTTCTGAAAAGAAAAGGAAAGATTTGAGTTTCTGTGTAGAATTTTTGTTCTAGTCTAGACATTCTGGAGCCTGTTTGATTAGTTCAGATTTCCTAGCTCTCTAAGATTCCTAGATCTCAAAGGCACCTAGGAGTAGATGTCAGTCTGATTGATCCATGTCTCAGAGGGGTCCTTGGAGGTCCTCTGGAACTTGACTGTTAGGAGGGACTGGTTTTCCAGCAACCTCCATTCTGCTTACTTGTATTATTTCATTAATTGGGATGTGACGTTACCAAGAGCCCTAGTGGTGCAGTGGTTTATGAATCTGCTGCTAACAAGAAGTTGGTGGTTTGAACCTGTCAGCCACAGGAAAAAAAATGCTTCTTTAAAGATGTATGATCTAGGCAACTATATGGGGCAGTCCTGCTCTGTCTTGTCGAGTCACTGAGAATTGGGCTCAGTTAGGATGGTTTATTTTGGTTTGGCACTCCTTTAATTGGCACAGTCTGTAGCATGTTACACTGCTAACCAAAAGGCATTGATTGCATCCCCAGTAGTTAGTATCTACCAATGCCTTTGTCAGAGAAATATGGATGGTCTCTTACTTTTCAGATTTACAGCCTAGGAAACCCAGGAGGGCGTTGCTGTCAGGGCTTTTTGTTTTGTTTTTGTGATGGCACCTGATGGAAATGCTCTACCTATATGATCCTTATCCTGTGGACTTTAGGAATGACTGACGTCTAGAACACAAGGCTCTTTCCTGTCCTTCATGGCCACACAAAGGTTCCTTGACTCTGGAGATGAACAGTCATTGGTAGGCCCTGGGGAAGGAGTGTGTTTTATTGCTGTAGTTAAAAAGGCAAACACCACTACTTCTTAAGCATCAGGCAGGAAATGTTAAATTCTTAGAAACAAGGCGTGTGCACCCTTTCTTAATAGTGTGTCATTTGTCTAGGTGTGTCTAATCTAAGGCCAAAGGTGAATTTTCTTGATGTCTAAGAGGAGTGTGTACTGAGCATGCGTTGTAAGAACCTTAGCCAGCTTGGCATAGAGGAGGCAAACAGATAGGGTGAACGTCTCCATTCCTGGGGCAGGGCTCTGGGTGCAGACCTTGTGCCAACTGAGATGCCACTTTTCTCTGGGTAGTCCTGGGGAGAAGAGAGTGTGCCACTGTTGACCTGGGCTTTTTTTTACACAGCAAATACTATTTCACATTGTCCTGACCCTTCACCTAAAAAAAAATTATTATACTTTCTACATAGTCCATGAAGAAAAGATACAGAAAAGTTTGATTTTGTAAGTGAATGTTGAGCTCTCAGTCTGAGCCCCGCTTCATATGAAGGAATATGTTGAATTTTAGATCTTCTCAGTTAGACGCTGCCCTTTTATTAAAATAAGATAGAAACAGGCCTGGGGCGAGCTCTGGTGGCCTAGTGGCAAGAAGCTGCACTGCAGTCCCAGAGGTGTGCGGTTCAAATCTACCAGATGCTTTGCTGGAAAAGGAGGAACCATCTCCTCCTGTACCAGTCAAATCTGATTTGACGGTGTACACACACACACACACACACACACACACTAAAAATAAAAGAAATTAAAAAAAAAAGAAACAGGCCTGGAAAACCTGGGCACTGATGAGGAAGAGGTGGTGTGTTCAGACATTTTTGTTTGACCTAAGGAAATTGGAGTTTGAGGTGAGATGGAGGACAGTATGAAATAAAATCCCCCATACCTTTGGGAAAGATCTAACCTTATTCTGAGAAGGCCTTGTGGCACAGCAATTAAGAGCTCACCTGTTCACCAAAAGGGTCATTGGTTCAAACTCATCCTACTCCACAAGAGAGATGTGTCATAAAAATTTTGTGAAACACTTCTGTTTTGTCCATTTTATAAAATTGCTATGAGTCTGAATTGAGCCATGGGTAACCTTACTCTGAGAGAGGGAAAATGGATTTGAAATGCCCTACTGATTATCTGTCACTTCTTTGTATCTTCTCACATTGGTTTTTTCTTCCTTAAGATGATGAGTTGGTCAGAACAGGAGGTGGTGAGATTAGGGTTGGTCCTTGAATAAAAATGGAAAGAGAAGAGTGATTCTGTACCTTTTTCTTCCACTTATCCCCCTAACCTTAATCCTTGGTTGCAGTATCACTGCACCTTTGTTTTAAAGTACTTTGTAATTGTCTCACCTGGACAGCCTTTATTCTACTGCAGAGGGCTTCCCAAGCCTTCAGTTTAACTAGAGTTGTGATCTGAAGAAAAAGGGGATGCTGTAAATGCATGCAATGTGTTTTGAGAAACCTAGAGTCTAGAGAAGGTTTGAGGAAGGGTTTTTGCACGTCTAGATTAGCAGTAAAGGCCAGGGAGGGTCATCATCCTCATAGGTAGATTAAAAGAACTCATTTGTCAAAGTGGACTGCTCAGGGCCTTGTATAAAACTCCTAAATGGCAGTCAATGAAATGATACTGAAATATAAAATTACTAATGAAATCAGATTTTTTTTTTCTCTTTGCTGGTTTAAAATGATTTTTTCTTGTGCACACTTTTACATGGAAATGAAATCAGAATGCCATGTGTTGACTTACAATGAAAAATACATAATTAAGTCGATCAGACTTTTGTGTTCATTAATTAATACTTTCTGATCATACAGAACCAAATTAGAGGTGGTTTAATAAAAATTTTAAAAAGAGGGAGATGGTTGCTTGAAGAACATGAACACAGACTGATGATTGTGAACTCAGAATAATTCGAGAACCTTAGTAACTGGTGTCATCAGACCAAAAATAAAATTTATGAAACCCAATTCCATCTCCCTCAAATTGACTCTGACTCCCCATGACTCCATGTGTGTCTGAGTAGAACTGGGCTCCTGAGGCTTTTCAAAGACTGATTTATGTAGATCACTTGATGGTCAGTCCTTTTTCACAAGGTCCTCATAGACACACTTGAACCTCCAACCTTTTGGGTAGTATCTGTGTTAACTGTACCTCTCAGGAACCCAAAACCAAATTGGCCAAATACCTGGAGATCTCCCCTTTTGGCCTCTTTGGACTTCTTTCTGATTCATGCTATTACATGATTACATTAAGGATATCATCAATTAAGAAAGCGAAACTTATTAAAAAGACTACAAAGAAAGAAAAGACTAGAATGTATGTAAGAAAATTCTGAAACTTACTGTAGGGTATAGAGAAGCCACAGCAAAAAGACTTGCTCTTGAACTTAGAATAACTAAAGTGAATGGAAAAATTATAAAATAACAGAAGTTTTCAAAGGATCACGCAAGAATATAAAGTATTATGATGAAATGTGCAAAAACCTGGAGTTAGAAAATCAAAAGGAAACACATTCAGCATTTCTCAACTTGAAAGAAATGAAGAAAACAGTTCAGGTTTAGAGTTACAATATTGAAGAAGGATTCTATGGATGAAATACAGGAAAAAATCAAAAAGAGCTGAAAAGATTATACAATGTGAAGGGCTTGGGGATGGTGGCAGCTGACTTCAGCGAATTCCAAAAACAGGGAGGAGTCTCCATCAATAGTATCAGCTGCACAAAACTGATTCCTATGAGGCCAGACATACTCTCCATGCTTCTGCACCTACTCCTGTCAATCCTAACTCCGTCTATTCCTCCCACGGCTCTCGTCACTATACTATTAGGTTCATTAATCCATTGCTATGGCCACGGAAAACTCACAGGCAGTACTCATTATTATGGGGCTTATTGGGAAAATGACAGGTTACAATTTAGGTCAGCAACACTCAGGATACAATTCTTTAGTCAGGACAGCTTCTTCCCAGGTACACTTGAAGATAGGACTCCCTATAACTTTCAGCTTACTGGACCCAGCCTTGAGGATCTGCCAGTGTTGCTGTTTTAGAGCTGTTTTAGCTCTGCGTGCCATGGCGATCTCCCACTTCCTACTCCCTCACCCCTGCCACTTTGTCTATACATAAGCCCTCAGCTCTGGATCCATGAGGTGGCGGTTATAGTTCATCTCTGTCTCATACCAGTCTCTGATTCTTCACCACCTGTGCTACTTCTACTCTGGTCTGAGTCTCCATCCAGCACAGGAGTCTCTGGCCCACAGAAGCTATTGCACGTTCTTTCCATTTTCTACCTCTAAACCTGTTCTGTTTAAGCCTAATAGAATGGCAAAAATGACCAATCCCCTCATTATTTTTTTCCCACTAATTTATTTACAAAATTCTAATACAAATTTGAACAAATTCTTTCAGTTTCCCTCACCCTCCACCCATCAAATTGTGCAACTCAATGATTAATCCTCCCTTCCCCCTGCACATCCACATCACTCTGCTTCCAGCCTCTCCCATCCCTCCTAGATCCTTATACTCCTTCTATAGTAATGGTCTTACACAATATTTATCCTAGTGGGACTGAGTTAGTTCACTCAGGATAATGCTCTTCAGCCCCTCCCAAGTTAGGTAATAATTTACAAAGTTATTGATCCTGCATGCTCCATAGTATTCCATTATGTGAATGTACCATAATTTCTCAATCCATTCATTTGTGGTTGGCATTTGGGCTGTTTCCATGTTCTTGCAATGGTGAATAATTCTGCTGTGTACGTTGGTGTATAAATCTCGGTTTGTGCCTCAGTTCTCATATTCTAAGGGTATATTCCAAATAGTGGAATAGCTGGGTCATACGGAATTTCTATGTTCATCTTTTTGAGGAAGCACCAAACTGCCTTCCAGAATGGTTTCACCATTTTACAATCCCACCAACAATGTATAAGAGTTCCTTTCTTGCCATATCCTCTTCAACATCTATTACTTGCTGCCCTGTTAAACTTGTCACTCTTACTGGAGTGAGATAATACCTCATTGTGGTTTTGATTTGCATCTCTCTTACTGCCAGTGATTTGGAGCATTTCTTCATGTGTAGTCTACAGGCATTATTTGCATGTTCTCACCCCAACGATGCTACTTACATTATTAAAAAGCTATCCAGTCCCCTTGATGGGTTCACAAACACCCCAGATTTGTTCAGTCCTGCTACCCAGCTGTAAAGGAGCTCTTCTGGTCACCTAGTGGTAAGGAGTTGCTCTTTCAGCCCAAAGACAAGTAGTTCTAATCCATCATCAGTCATTCTGCAGGAGAAAGATGTACAGTCTCCTCTCATGTTATTTACAGCCTCTGAAAACCCACTGGAAAATCAGCAGTGAGTTGGTTCTTAATTGACAGCACATAAAAATAACAACAGTTCAACCATGTAGTGAAAGCTAAAGGCAACAACTAGAAAAGCTATATTGAATAATGTTTTATTAAGACACACAAAATCAGCTGATGTTCAACCATTTTAGGAGCTAAGTAGTGTGTGATCCAGAACTGAATGTATGGAAGGAAGAAGTGAAAGATGCATTGAAGACATTGTCGAAAGCACAGCTCTAGGAAGTGACAGAATAGATCAACAAATGGATGCAACTCTACAAGTGTCAAGAAATCTGGTAGACAGCTGCCTGGCCAACTGACTGGAAGAAATCTGTATTTGTCCCTGTTCAAAAGAAAGGTGATCAGATAGAATGCAGAAAATATCAAATAATATTATTAATATTCCATGTAGATAAAATTTTGCTGAAAATATTTTAAAAATAGTTGCAGCAGTTCATCCATAGGGAAATGCCAGATATTCAAGCCAGATTCAGAAGAGGATGTGAAAGGAAGGATATTATTGCTGATGTCAGATTGATCTTGACTAAGAGCAAAAGATCCCAGAAAGATGTTACTTGTATTTTATTGACTACTCAGATGCTTTGACTGTGTGAATCTTGGCAAATGTACAGTTGATTAATATGGTGAAGGAAAGTTTCAGACATATAATTAATGTCCATATACATAGACCAAAAGGCAGTTGTTTGAACAGAGCAAGAAGATATTGTATGGTTTAAAATCAGGAAAGATGTGTGTCTGAGTTCTGCCTTTTCACCATACTTTATTCATTCTGTGTCTGAGCAAATAATATGGGAAATTAGGCAATGTGAAGAAGAACATGACATCAGGATTAGGAATACTCATCAATAACCTACATGGTGCAGATGACACAATCTTGCTTGCTTGAAAGTATAGAAGACATCATGTAAGTGCATGATTAAGATCAAGGACAATAGCCTTCAGTGTGGATTACACCTCAGCTTAACACAAAAGTCCTCACAACTGAAACACTAAGCAGTATGCTAAAAGGAGAATTAATATAAGTTGTCAAGGATTTCATATTACTCAGGCCCACAATCAATGCCCTTAGAAGCAGTGGTGAAGAAATCAAATGATGTATTCCATTGAGCAAACTTGCTGCAAACGATCTCTTTAAAGTGTTACATACAATATTTATATGTCACCTTGAGGGACCAATGTGTACTTGATCATGCATGATATTTTCAGTTGTCTTAATGCATGTAAAAACAAAACTACACAAGGAGTAAAGAAGATCAAAGAAGAATTGATGCCTTTGAATTGTTGTGTTGGCAAAGAATGTTGAATATTCATACCATGGACTGCCAAAAGAATGAAAAATTCTGTCTTAGAATAGGTGCAACCCTTGAGCGTTCCTTAGGAGCAAAAAATGGTGAGTATTTTATAAACTAGTATTAGCAAAAAAGAGGAAGACTCTCAAAAGATGCGTGGTTGAAGTGACCAATAGTAGGCCTCAAACCTAGTAATGATAATAAAGATGGCCCAGAAACCAGAAAGTGCTTTGTTCTGTTGTACATAAAGTCACTGAGTTGGAACCCACTCAACATATCCAACAACAACATACCCATCATTTGATATTTTTTGTTAACATGATTTTATTTAAGGCAAGAACGTGGTCAGCTGTTGTTGAGTGGGTTCTAGTTCACAGTGACCTTCCATTGGCTTTTCGAGGCTGTAAAGCACAACCAAAGGAGATTGCCCATCTTTTCCCCTTGGAACCCGTGGTGGATTGTGACTCTCAGAGGTGAAGTCTATGTGTTAGCAGCTCAGCTCTCTTGGGACCACACTGCCCGCCACCAGAGCTCCCTGAGAGGACAGTTCTTGAGATAGAAGCCATTTGATAGCGTTCTTTATCTAGCAATGACTGACAAATATATTTTGTTGAATGTGAGAGAAATTATTGTCATCATCTTGGGTCATTCCTGTAGATGGTGGATATTAGCCTTTATATTTCACCTTTTCTTCATTTCAACCTCAGAAATGACCTAGTTTCAGTTTTGGAATTTGACTGTCTGACCCGTATTTTTTCCAGGCTCAGCAGTATGACATTTATTGGAAATGGAGATGGTCCCTAAATTCACATGATATGGCATGAACTGGGCTGTTGTCAGGAGGAGAGTTTGTCTGTCCCCAGTGATATAAGAGCCACAGTCATTTTCTCTGATAAATAATTGAAGTGCTCTTTCCGAGGGGGTCTTGTTACAATGAGCAGGAGTGCCAAGGGTGAGAGGTTTGGTTACAATGCGAAGAAGGATGTGGAGGGCAGATACACAGCCTGGCCTGAAATGCCCCACCCTGTTCACGGGGCCCAGTGATGCTCTGACAGTGGAGGGGTGGATCACAGTGTTTCCACTCGGCAGAGCTGTCCCTTTCCCAGCCCGGCTGGAATTAATCCAGAGAAGCAGACAGTGGCATCACTTTAATTAAATTCTAGATTTAGTCTTTTGAGGCATTTGCATCAATGAGAGTTGCTGAGTCCTTGCCTTTTGGGGCTTGGAGGTGCCTAGAATAAACTCCAGAGAAGGGGGAATTCTGCTATTCCTGGTCACTTGGGGGAGGGAGCAGAGATTTTTTTCTTTTTTTCATTCTCACTAATCTTTATTTCTCTTCTTTCCATGTCTTTGCCTTGGAGCAGTTATTACAGTAAGTATTTTCAATGGGATTGGAATTGTAGAAGATTTGTAGAAAAATAAAACAGGGCTGTCCTTGAGGATTCTGAATATTCTTAGTTTGGGGTGTATTTTGGAATTACTGGTGCTTTATTCTTTTAGCCTTAGTGAGGAATGTGTTCATGGGTGTGATGGCCTCTTGCTTTCGGCAGCGTTAATTAACATTACACCCTCAAAGTGCAGCAGTTAAGACCCCACTGTCCTTGCACAGGGTTGCAGATGTACACAAAGGCTTGAGCCCTCCCCTGTGCCTCCCAGGTCCTGCTTTCCCAGGGTTACACAGGACTTCAGTCAGCTGACCTTTCACACTTGAGCATCTTTTGATCCCAGTCAGCACTGACCTTTGACTTGTAAAGTCATCAAGGTTTCTTTTCCATGAACAGCCCCTGTCAGTACCCCTTCTGTACCCTTTCAGCATCCTTATCCGAGTGCTTTATTTCCTGCTAGGAAATGTGGTTGGTATCTGGGATAGTAATTCCTGCTTAAGTGTTAATTTGATCAGTCCTCTGGCAATCTCCTCCCATGCCGTTTACAGCCTCTGAAAACCTGCTGGTGGTCAGCTATAGGTTAGTTCTGACTTGACAGCACACAGAGAGGTTAAATTCCAAGAAGAGTGTTTCCAGCCACAGCAAAAGGGGAGTAGAAGGAACCAGACAGACCTGTATTTGAGGTCTGGTTTTGGCATTCATTTGTTACTTCTGTGGCCTTTGACAAACTTTTCATTTATTACCTCTATGGCTTTTGACAAATCACTAAACCCTTTGACCTAGCTTTCCTCATCTTTGAAATGAGGGTGACACTAGTACAGTCCTCACAGACTGGAATGCAGAAGGTAAGACATGCCCTGGAAGGTTCATTGTGATTGTGAGACAGCCAAGGCCGCCGACTGACTGCCAGTAACGGGAGGTGGTTATTCTCTCAGTGTGAACGTGGTAACTCTAAGGCATTTCATCTTTCCTTTCCAGAATGAGTACATGAAAGAAGACTTTCTGATTAAAATTGAAACTTGGCACAAACCAGATCTTGGCACCCTGGAGAATGTAAGTAGCACTTCCCAAGGACTTCCAGGCCCCAGACTGGGGTCTTGAGGCTTCTGTGCTACACTCTCTGCCTTGAGGCTCTCCCGATGGTTTCCTCCCTCAAGAGGAAGGGAGTGACTCTTGCCTCACCCTGTCATGCCACCACAGGGTTACTAATCTCAGACTGACAAAAATATGATCTCAAGATTCCTTGAGAGCCTTCTTAGGATCTGCAGATTGTTCTGAAATGCAGCTTCTGGTACAGAGGAATTGTATTTTGAAACCTCTAAATTGTGACCACTGGAGAGGCCATTTGGCCAGTGACTGCAGAACTTCAAATACACTTGTGCATCATCCCAGCGATTTCACACCTAGGAATTTATTATACATATATATGATCTTAGATTTGTGAAATAACATATGCAGGGGCATTCATTGCAGCATTCTTTGGATAACCAAAAGTTAAAGTCAATGTAAGAGCCAATCAGTTAAATTATAGACAGCCATAGAGTGGAATACTAAGCAGGCATAAAAAGGAACAATGTGGGAATAGTCTTCAAGCTGAGTAGTTCAGTGACAAGAGAAAGATGCAAAACAATGTATCTGTGTGCTACCCACACACATGACTATTTATATGTGCATTGAAGCTGTGACGGTGGCTGTTAGAGAGAGGGGACCAGGAGACAGGCAAGAGGACAAATGGCTTCAATACTTACTTGACTGTGTATCTTAATTTTGTACCTGAGAACCACCTTATATCCTATTTAAGTTGATTTGTTTTTTTAAAAAGTCAAACTCAGCAGTATTTGATTATGCAGGGAAAAAACTTTTCCATGAGTTTTTCTGTCTTTATAAAGGAGGATCTAAAGAAAGAACATAAGTGCTATGGGTGGTACAATAGGGCAGCAAACAACAAAAGCTGGTGAGGTTGTGCAGAGATTAGAACTCTTATTCCCTACTGGTGGGAATGTAAAATCATACAGCCACTAGGAAGGCAGTCTGGCGCTTTCTTAAAAGTTGGAAATAGTGCAACAATGAATGAATGAAAACCCAAAATCTCTGTAAATGTTCACTAAAACTAACAAAATTTAATAATAATAAAAAAAAAGTTGGAACTAGAAAAAACATTTGACCCAGGAATTCCACTACTAGGAATACACCCTGAAGAAACCAGAGCCGCAACTCAAACACATGTATGCACACCCATGTTTATTGTTTTGTTATTCACAATAGCAAAGAGATGGAAGCAGCCCAGGTGCCCATCAACAAATGAATGGATAGAAAAACCGGTACATTCATGCAATGAAATATTATGCCACACTGAAAAACTGAACTTTTTTTTTTAACTGAACTTTTAAAACTACACATGGGTGAGCCTGGAAGACATTATGCTGAATGAAATATCTCAGTCACAAAAGGACTAATACTGCTATTATAAAATAGGACTAACATGGGGATTGGAGGGAGGATAGATAGATAGAAAAGAGTGGATAGATAATGAGTACTGCATTGGTACAGAGGAGTGGAAGGATAGTCTGAAGGGAATGTATAATTAGGCATTATATGTATGACGACAGTCTGAAATAAGAGGTGCATTGTAAATTTAACTCAGGGAGGGGGAAGGAAAATGTGAAACAATGAATGAATGAAAACACAACCTTTCTATAAACTTTAATTAAAATCACAGTTTAAAAAAATTCAAAAGAGGGGAGCTCTGGTGGCCTAGTGGTAAGGAGCTGCAACTACAATCCCAGAGGCGCGCGGTTCGAATCCACCAGATGCTCTGCCGGGGAAGGAGGGACAATCTCCTCCTGTACCAGTCAGAT